GTACTTGTTTGATTGTTTTTACATATACATGGCTACACTTGTACTAAGTCACCAATGAGCCAGTTACGAGTACTACCTGTCTTGCCCGTTTACCCTTTTCTTTGATTTACAAAAATATTTTTTGTTATCTTATTTTGCTGTTACTAATGTTTATATTATAGTAAATATAACGTTTATAATAAAAATAACACCATAGATATTCATAGCACTAGTAAAAAATATGTTTTTCTCGCCATTCACATCAGGTAAGGTCACAAGGTCTACTAATTGACTCCTTTGTGGCTAAGCACTAGCAGAGCCATCTTTGTGCAGAGACATTTCACAAAAATATAGAAAACGAGCACAACATTTTCCCCATTTTTTATTTATTTTCCCCGGCGGCACTGGGTTAATAAAGAGTGGGCATGGCATGTATGTACATGCCATGCCCATTGGATTTGCAGAAAATAAAACACTTTCTGCAAAGACATCAAACTCTAAAGTAAATATCCCTTCAGTATAGGTCTTAAATATATATAATACATATAGGAAAGCTTTTTTCAAAACAATGATCTCATAATGCATAAACCAATGTGCAAAGTGCCAGTTTGTGACTTACCTTCATAAAGTCTTCAGATTCCTTGTCAATTTTACTGCTCATGGATGCACCTAAAAACTTCATTAACCTTAAGGTAAGATAATGTTTGGCTGCTGAACCGATGGTGTGTGACTCAGACCATCGAAGATGTGACATGTCAGCACCAGCAGCTACTCCTGTGCCCACAGAAATGACCCCAGCTACAACAAAGGTCCCTGGAAGTGTTTGTTTTTTGCAAAATACTAAACAGTACTTGACAATACATTATTAAACAAATGTATTGTAGTCCAAGTATAGGATTAGTCTATGCAGTCAGTTTGCTTTATTACAATCAAGTTCTTCCTTCTACTCTTAATTTGTCGTCCATTTGGAGTAATGTATCTATACACATATTTTTTGCATTTCAATGAAGCTATGTGAACTATTGAATATGAATGATAATTGTCAGTCAACAAAATCAAAATATTTAATTACACCTCAAAATCAAAATATTTATTCAAACCTTAAAATACTAGATTGTGAGAACTAAACTAGCAGAAGAATGAGAAGGAAAAAAGAGGTGTGAGGAGAGAGGAAAGAAAAGAGAGAAGAGAAGAGAAGAGAAGAGAGGAGAGAAGAAAGAAGAGAGAAAAGAGAATAGGGAAGAGAGAAGAGAGGAGAGCAGAGATAGGAGAGAGAGAGGAGGAAGAAGATAAAAGGCTAAAGAGAAGATAGTAGAAAGTGAGGGGAGTATGTAAGAACAAGAATTCAAGGAAGTAAGGGTTATGGAGCAAGGAGTAAGGAGGGAGCAGAGAGGAGAGCAGAACAGTGAAAGAGAAAAGAAAAACAGGAGGGAAGAAGGAGGAGGAAATAGGGAGGAGACAAGCACAGGGAGGGGAATTAAGTGTGAAAGGGAAAGGGAGAGATGAGAGGGAAGAAAGGAATGAAGAGACAGGAGAGATGAGGAAAATGGAAGATAGGAAAAGGATGATAGGAGTGATGTATGAGATAATATGAATAATGAATGAGGAAAGATGAATGAGGGAAAGGGGAAAAGGGAAGAGGGAGGAGAGAGGAGAGAGGAGAGAGGAGGGTGGAGGGTGGAGGGAAGAAGGAAGAGGAAACTGGGAGGAGGGAAGATGGAAATGGGAAGTGAGATGAGGGCAGAGGGAAGAAGGAAGAAAGAAGAGGGAAAGAGGAGGAAGGAAAAAAGAGGTAGAAGAGAGTATATAGGAGGCAGGAAAGAGGAGAGACAGTGATGAGGAAAGACAAGAAAAGTGTGGAGGGAGGAGTGATCAGGGAGCAAGCAAAAACCAAAGAAGGAAGAGAGAGAAATGCATTAACTAAGGAAATCTGTGCCAAAATTAGACTTGGAGAGGCCCTAAGCTATGCTTAATCTGGCCTTTTGTAAAGTGACAATTTTTTTTGTTTAACTAGTCAAAGACATAGGTAAACAAATAACTCATATTAATACTATACACAATAAAATAAAAAAGGTTACCAAAATCTAGAGGCACCTAAAATACAGCTACAGCTCATTTAGCTAACAGTAAATCCTTTAGCAAACTGACAAAATATGAGAGAGGAGAGAGAAGAGAGGAGAGAGGAGAGAGGAGAGAGGAGGGTGGAGGGAAGAAGGAAGAAAGAAGAGGGAAAGAGGAGGAAGGAAAAAAGAGGTAGAAGAGAGTATATAGGAGGCAGGAAAGAGGAGAGACAGTGATGAGGAAAGACAAGAAAAGCGTGGAGGGAGGAGTGATCAGGGAGCAAGCAAAAACCAAAGAAGGAAGAGAGAGAAAGGCATTAACTAAGGAAATCTGTGCCAAAATTTGACTTGGAAAGGCCCTAAGCTATGCTTAATCTGGCCTTTTGTAAAGCAAAGTAAAGAGAGAGGAGAGAGGAGAGCCATGAGATGAGATATAAGAGATAGACACTGAAAAATGCGAG